AAGACAAGTGTTGAATATAATATTTTAAAAGAAGTGTTAACCAAACAGAATAGTCTACAAGCAAGAGATAAGCTTGATAAGGACTCTGGATAATGCATCATATTTAAAAATGATTGTGGTCACTGGAGTTTTGTCTCTAAATACAAAATAATGCAAAAATAAAACGACCACCTTTTAGGAGATCACCTGCCTTTATTTGAAGTGTGAATATGTGAACTAGAAAATTAATTTATTTGGGATTCCTTCAAAGGAAGATCTAGCACCAAATCCATAAATTTCTAAGGAGAGAGGTTTGGGTGCAATGTCCAGAAAAACTTTCTACTTGCTGTTGCTCAGTGGAGGAATTAACTGCTTTAGAAAGCAAGGAGTTCTGGGCTCTTGGAATGTTCACACAGAAGCTGATTTTCCATCTGCTGTGCATGTTTTGGTTGAGGGCATTCCTGCTACCTCAACCAAAGGAGGCTAAACTACATGACCTTTAAGATCCTTCCTAATCTCAGATTCCATGAAGAGTGAGCAGAGAATATTAAAGAAAGGAAAAGGAATTTCTGAGATGCATGGGGTAAGCACTGTGGGCAGGACACGACAGACAAGTTGGTGGTTCAGAAAAGTTGATCTCAACGCATCCATAATATATCATGATCTGTCATATCTACCATAAAAACATAGGAGTTAATTAAACTGGGCTTGCAAATTCCATTTGGTGTCACTGAAAAGGGGACTGAGATGTTTACTAAGAACTTCTTAAAATTGAGTGTAAAATAGCACACGAGATACGAGATCTAGGTTGAGAAGCAGTCTCATAACTTTATTCCTCATATTTCACATTGGCTGCAGGCCTGCAATGAAATATGGCTCTCTTTTTTTGGTTTTGGGCTTTGAGGCTAAAGAGAGCGTTTAGCAGGGGATATCATAATTCCTTTTTGTGGATACAGAATTATCCTAAGCAGTTGCCAAAATCAGGTAGAATAAGGCGAGTATTGGTCAACTCTCAGTAACTCCAAGGCCTCAAACAGAGTTTTTCCTTAGCTTCTGGGAAACTGGTATCTACAAGGAAATCAAGAGGCCTAGTCCCCTAACTGCTTTCGGAGCACGTTGTGGGAGGTGCAGACCAAAGGTGAGTTTACACATCAGTGACTAAAGTTTCCTGCCACTAAGCATAAGAAGTCACTCATGAGCAGCGTCCCTAAACCACAGCTACAGGATGTGGGCACAAGCCCTTGTATAATTGTTGGCCAAGAGCCAATGAGCATTCATCCCTGTGCAAATACCTTGGCTTTTTTATGTTGTTGTTAACCTTTGAAAACCACAGGCATTAGTCTCTCTCTTTCTTCCCCTTGGCACAAGTCATCTTCTTTTCTCCAACTTGGTCTCTTGTGTATAAAGAATTTCTGAGGAGCTTTTAAGCCTAAATTTAATACTTTTGCCCTCCCCCTCTCCTGCCCCACAAAATGCCAGCAGAGGTGAAGCTGCCTTACAAAATATCTGCTGGCTCTGCCAGCTTCCGCAGCTTTGTTTGGGCTTTTTTTTTTATCAGATAGGAAACCAGAGAGCTCTGTGAGTGTCCTTAGCCTTTAAGAAAATGATGGCAATTTCTGGAAATTCCTCCCAAACGGCTGTGCCCTATTGTTTTCTCCCTTCAAAATTATCTCCACAACTATGATACATCAATTCAGATGTCAAGTCTTTCCCAGGGAATACAGATATTATATTGGAAAGAACAGTGGGCTAGGGATAGAAATTGGAAGATATAGTCTAATCTAATCTCAGTATTTCCAAAAAATCACCATCTTCTTTTTCAGAAATGTCTTTTTAGTTTCTAGGCCTTTGCTTCACCTTCTGTGCTGAATTTACATGGTTTTTCTGCCTTCTTATCACCAGAACTCTATAAATTGGCTTCCTCAGGATGTTTCAACAAAGACTCAATAAAAAATGGACCTCAAGGCAAATGATTCAAAAGTAGCCAACTTATAAGTGAGCTTCTCTTTTCTGCCTTAGATGACCGTAAGATGACCAAAGGTCAGGTCTCCAAAGAGGCCAAATTGACCACCAAGGAGTGAGTCCTGGTGATTGTTTAAAACTCCTCCTGTTTTGTTAAAATATCTATCTCCTTTGAACTTTCTCACCCTCAGAACTGCCTACGATATATCAGAAGACAGTGAGACATTTGTCAATGGAGTTGTTCAAGCAGTTTCTGAAATAAAGCTTATCAGAGATTTTTCTAGTGGAAATTCCTGAATGAGATAAAGATCAAATAATGAAGACCTCCAACCATGACATTTTGGTTATGAAATGCTTTGTACTATACTTAACATATCTTGTGTCTACTCCTATCATCAATCAAACTCATGATGGCATTTGCTAAACTGTAGTGGTAAGTTCAAATAATAATCTGATAAAAACTCCAAGTGTACATATAGGTCCCCTGGGTTGTGGCTCCCTGTTGAGCTTAAAGACAAAGAGCCCACGTAAGGACACCAAGTGCAAAATGAGAAAACCATGATCAGTAGGTCCATGGTAATGAAGAAACAATTTCTGGAGGAAATTTAGTTCCCTTAGATGTTTTCCCACCTTCTCCTGCAAAAGTCACATCACTGTCTAGGCAAATACTCAAAACTTTCTGTTTAATAAAAGAATTTAACCTCATTTCATTGAATCCTCATGAAATAAGCAAAAGTAATATAATTGTCTCCATTTTGCAGAAGAAGACATTAAACCTTAGGAAAGTTAAGGATATTTTTCAGGGTCTCCCATGATTGATCCAACTCTTTCCTAAGGAAACAATGTGTCTAATTAACTAAGTACTAGCAACAATTATTTGGAAAATGATAGGGTCACTGGCCTTAAAAGATTATGTCAATCATTTCTCCAAATGGTATCACACAGCACTTCCTCTTACAATATCTACTTTATCTAGTCTTTCCTTGAACATACCAAGTGATAGTGGGCTCACTGTTTAAAGCAACCCATTCCATCATTGAAAATGTATAACTGTAAGAAGTCCTTTCTTATATTGAACTGCTATCCAAATTCCTAAATCTTCTCACCCTCTGGTCATAATACTGCTTTCTAGATCCCCTTTTTCCATTAATGGGATATCCTATATATGACAGTTTTTACAAAATATGAAGGGAATTCATAAAGACCCTCATGTCATCTCTCAGTTCACTCCTTATGCAAAACAGCTTTGATTCCATTAAATGCTTATCCCATTGTTACAGACTGCCTCTCAGAACTAAGAAACATCTCCCTCCTGTCATCCTTTCTGAACTGTTTCCATTGATGATGGTGCACTGTGTCCTTTAGAAGGTCATTTGGGAACAGTCTGGCTTAGGTTACAAAGGGGACAAATGTGCAGAGAGAAGTCGATTGTCAGGCTGATCCTTAAATGGTAACTCAAAAGAATGTGTTGGACATTTCAGAGGCTTCTGCCAATAAATGCCACTATCTTGAGGCAAATGGGGATTTTCGGGCAGCAGTATTATAATAATTTGCCAATTATGCCTGCTTCAGAACCAGTGCCAAAACAATCCAACGACTTTTCATTCCACTACTGTTGACAGGACAGCTATGGATTTCAACATTTCCTTTTACAGTCTGAATAGAAGTTCCCTGCCTTGGGGACTATAACAATATTTGCCATCATGGGGGGAAGAAAAAGTGGGTGCTGTAAAGGCGGAAGAGAGGGAAATAAAAAAATATTAATGGAAGTAAACAAAGACAAAATAAAATGAGAGTTATTCAAGGTTTGGGGTTGAATGTCTGCATTAAATTGATGTTTATAAATATATCAGAGGACAAATCTTTGAAAAGCAAGCTTTTCAACTTCACATAAAAGTCAAAAAAAAAGTTGGCTGGAATTTTCTACTTAAATATAAACCAAGATGTGTCAATTTTGAGTCTTGAGAAAGGCAAAAAGCTTATTGTAGTAATGTCTATGTAGTCAACATTCAAAACTTTTTTTCCTAAATAAATTTAGATAAAATAAGATTCTGAAATAAAGAAGAAAAGAAACTTGAGAGATGCAAACATATGAGATAATTTCCTGGGTTGTTGAAAATTAGATCTAAGTCGGGAAGGGACAAAGAGGAAATAAGAGGGAAAAGAGCAATGAGAATAGAGTGTTAGAACACTGTTTTTGGAAACATGGTCTTCAAAACCGATCCATGGACATTTCATATGGAGCACCTCTGAGGCCTACAAAGAAAGATGCCTGTGGCATTCTCATCTTCATTCCAACCATAGTGATCTTACTTTTATCTGCTTTGTATATACTGCTTCTACAAAAGATTTCATTAGAAGAAAAAGATCTGCTATTAAGAAAATATATTTGAACAAAAGATGGCAAAAGTAAATGAGCTAGAAACCAAATGTAGGATAGATTGAAACAGTTAGCCTTGGAGTAGGGATTCCATTTAATAGGCTGTGGTAATAATTTGTTGAGCAGAATTAAAAACCTGATCTAATAATACAGCTATAAGCATGGAAAGGAAGAATAGATGAACAATTTTGATAAAAGAATGAGCTTCCCGTTTGACATTTGGGCATTGGAATACAATGCAGCCATATAGAGATGGGATCGTATATAGGATGTCATTGGCAAGGAATCTAGAGAAATCAAAATTGATGGACTTCAGGAATGGATAACTGGGACCATATAAATACCACAGAGAAATCCAGGATTTTGATGATGCTCAATGTAAGAGGCCACTGGGACACTGATATTTAGATGATTAGCAGACAGAAATGCAAAACTGAATCTTGGAATAAATACTGGGAATGGGAATATACATTTGGAAGTCATCCTCATAAAGTGGTAGCTAAAATACTAGAGACAGTGAGACCCCCAATGAGAGAATAAATCAGGATAAGAGGGCTGAAGACCAAGACTTCAAAAAAAAAAAAAAAAAAAAATGCCTACATTTAGAGAGCTTAAGCAACAGGACCTAAAGAGTCTTCTTTCCTAAGTTGATGATCAGGCACTCATTTGATAACAGTGCTTGATAGGCTCAGCAGAATTTGTTTTCTAGTTTTAAGAAAATTTGGTTATTCTGTATGAGGTCTAAAGTGTGTATCTATCAGTCCAATCAAGCTTTTAAATTTTCGGAAATACTAAATATTCAAAATCATAAAGTATTACTTAAAAATAATTGGTTCAGTCTAAAAATAGGGTGGGCCAAAATGAAATTTTCAAGTGGCATATCTTTGGATGATATACTGATGGTACCAAAAAGACTCTCAAAAACCTATACTCCCACGGGCGAGGGAATAGCCAAGTTTGTTGCGGTTTCCAATGAATGACATCAGCCCTGTGTAGGTCTCAATCAAAATGGGTTCGGTTAACACCATCAGTTTCTTTCTGCTTCCAGATCCAGTTGAATTCTTGTGGGCATTCTGGATAGCTGGAACAAGCTTAGACATGAACCCAGACAACTGAAGAAGAAAAAAAGAAGGCACAAAGTTAGTTACTGTAGATTAAGTTGAGAGATACTCACCTCCCCAGCCAGTCTTCACAGAAGTTGACTTCTGTCCTGGGGCTGCAGTTATTCTTACTTCTTAAACAGAAATGGTTAAAATGTATCTCTATTAAGTTAATACAGTTAATAACTGTGCTTAACTCTATTAAGACTAACTTTCCTCAGGCCCAATTTTGCTTCTTAATGTCAGAAATAATATGTGATTTTTCAGTTTGTTTATCATCCATGTAAGTCTACCAAGTACCATGTTAGTTTTAGCTGATTTAAGATTTTGTTAGTATACAAATAATTTGCGTCTGTATTAGTACTGTAAACTAACTCTCTTTGTCACTGATATATGAAAGGGCATCTGAAATTACTTAAGAAATGTCGATGAAGCGCCTACAACACGTTCCAGAGACATTTTAAGTTGGACAGACAGGCGAAAAAACCCGCTGTCACGGAGCTCACATTCTCGTGATTGCAGACAAAAAATGTTAATAAAAATTTGGAGGGTGATAAATTCTAGAAGGAAAATAAAATGTGGCAAAGGGATAAAAAGTAAGGAAAGTTAGAGTCACTTCACTTACTGTATTCAGGGCAAGTCTTTCTGGGAAGGTAAAACTTCAACTGAGACCCACATAATGAAAAAGAGCTAGCTATGGGAAGAAGAAATTCCAAGCAGAAAACACAGCACCTGCAAAAGCCGTAAGGGAGGCATGAATTTAGCTTCTTCAAGGGACACGGAAAAGACCTGTTAGACAGAAGTCTAGGGATCAAAGGAAAGAGGTTGAAGCGCTAGGCATGAAGAGTCTTCAGGGCCACATTAAGGGCTTTGGGTCGCTGTGATTTTAAGAAGGAGTTCAATGTTGTATAATGTTATTTTGAAAATAATAATAATCCTAGCTACTGTGTGGAGTCGAAAATAGAATGCTGTTAGGGCTAAGAATGGAAGCAGGAAGGCAAGATGAGTTTGGAATTCACTTTGGGAGTCCAGACAAGATATGATGGTGGCTTGGACAGCGTAGCAGTGGAGACCATCAGAACTGGTTAAATTAGGGATTTTGGGGGCAGTGGGGTCGAGCCAAAGAATTTGTTGGTGTGACTGAATTTAGGGAAGAAGAGAAGAGAAGGATAAAAAATGACACCCAGATTTTTGGCCCGATCAACTAGGTAGATGGTGATGTTATTACTGAGTTGAGAAAGCCTAGGAGAGGTACAGATTGGAAATAGTAAGATACAGGGATGGAGGATTTTGTTGCAGACATGTGGTTTGAGTTATCTTACCAGGAATCCTCTTAGAGACTTTCAGTAGGAAACTGGATGTAGAATCTGGGACCATGAAAAAAAATCAGATAAAATGTCCATGTATGTAAATTTTTCATAATAATCGTCGCAGACCCAGAAGTCAAGAATGATATTCATAAAGGGAAGCTAATAGCCTAAACGCGATAGGTTATGGAACAGAGAGTAGGAATTAAATTCAGGAAATTCTTACTGGATAAGATACTAGGCATTGTGGGCAAAGTAGAGGGGATCTGGTAGGTAAACTGAGGATCTAAATGTTACAGGGATCTGCCCAGTACCAAATAACTAGTAAATGATTGATCAAGGGCTTGGACTCAGGTTGTTCTCTGGGGGGTAGGGGCGGGGGTCACAAGGTGCTCAGTAGGGGAGCTTTTGAGCCAGAATGAGCCAGGAAAAGGAATTTCACAAGGTAATGTCATCAGTTAAGGCAGGAACAGACCATTTTCACTTCTTTTGTGGTGGAATGTCATCAGTTAAGTCAGGAACTGGCCATCTGGATGTGTACGTGCAGGTCACAGGGGATACAATGGCTTAGCTTTGGCTCAAGGCCTGACACAGGTCTCCTGACTTAACTCCTGAAGTCCTCTCTTTATAACGTTGCTGTTATGAGCAGGATTATAAAATTCTAATTTTTAGAAAATTTAGTTTTAAAATTCTGATATTTAGGGAAGAATTCTTGTTCCTCACTTGCAAAATGGAGACAATATTACATTCATTAATTTTTAAACCATGTTCTTTAAAACACTAGATCTCCTCATAGATTGGGTGACTACATATAATTTATCATCCAGATCTAAATTCTTTTGAAAAGAAAGGAAGTGCTATTGTGAATAATGTTGGGACAACAGGTACCTGAGGGTTTGAGGAGAGGATGTCAACAAAAAGTCAAAAGTCAAGCAGGTAACTTGTTTCAGTCTCTTCAATCACATCGGAGCTGCTCTATTTTTATCATCAGTTTTATATATTTGAGTTCCAAGTAAGATTTTGTTTCCAAAAGGTTTCTTTTTAAATGAAAATCACTTGCCTAGGAAACTTTTGCTCTGTCAATCAATGATTTAATTCAAAAAGATCTATAGTGCCCACTCTCCAACAAATCTCTCAAAACCAGGCTTAAATCCTGTATCTTCCACAATGCCTTCCCACAGACTCAAGGGAAAAGTCAACCTTTTTTTCTCTTACGTTTTTCCTTTACCTATACCTCCACTCAAATCTCTCATCTGGTTTTCTATGCAGTAGAGTCACAAATGTGGCTGTCTGTACAGCTAAAACGACGTTTCTTCACCTTGGGACTATTGCTATTTTAGGCCAGACAATTTTTTGCTATGGGAGAGAATGTCTCCTGCATGTTAGGATGTTAATCAGCCTCCCTATCCTTCACCCACCAGATACCAGACAGGCTTCCACCCCAGATGTGACAACCAGTAATATCTCACTGGGACACTGGGACATTGTTAAATGTCCCCCATGGGCAAAATCACCCTGTCTTGAGAACCACTGAGCTAAAGGGAGTATAGGATCAGGCCGAGCTGGTATTAAGTTGGAATGATGGTACTCACATAGCTGTGTGACTTCAGGCAAGTTATTCAACTTTGCTGAATTTTATAGTTCCTTTGCCATAAAATAAGAATATTAATAGCATCAAATTTATCAGGTAGTTGAAAAGATTAAGTGAAATAAAGGGTTTGTATACATGCTGTGAATAGAGGTGTGCACACACATGCACTTGTGTGCTCATATATTATATAAAGGATTAGGAAAGCAGAATGAGATGAGCCTGAAATTTGGAGTTATATTGCAAAGGCCATAAAGGAAGCTTGTTGCCAGGAATCAATAAATAATAACTGCTTAATCATCACTGACATCATCCTCATCATCCTTATCAAACCATGATCTCTTAAAAATCAAAGTATAATTCATCTCAACAATTCTATTGCAACACTCTGGATCCCTTTTCATAGATCAGTAAACCTTGTCCAGTTGGATTAGTGAATGCTTCCTCAGGCTTCATCATAAACTTCATTTCTTGAGAATCCTCTGTGGAACTCAAAATCAAAGTGCTAGAAAGTAAAAGTTGGCACTATTTCATACTCAGTGGATTTGGCATTTCACTGGAGTCAGATGGACTTCATTTCCAGTCATTTCTAGGATCCCCTTCAAAGCCAGGGGAGGGGATGGTTACAGAGAGACAAGCAGGGTGACAAGCAGGGTGTCAAGCAGTGCATTGAAGGAGAGGCAGACAAAAGGCCAAGTCCCCAAGCTGGCTCTTGAGCATTTCAAGCACCTGAACTAAATCTATGTGACAGGAACGCTGTGTCATCTGATATGAATACCACCAGCCACATACTTTTCCCTAAAAGCTTTTATGCACCCACCTCTGGCTCTCTCTTTTATTTCAGTCCCAAATACAGAGGGTCAGATTTTAACAACTCCAGTTACACAGGGGTTGTGTGTTGGTTAGGATAAAGTATAGCAGTTACAGCAGTGTGCGTGGTGGGGGCAGGGGGAACGCGGTATTATTCTTGACTTTCCACCAATTATTTACCAGCTGAGTGCCTGGTCCACAGGTTTGCTTTAGGTGCTGCCTGCCAACAGTTCATTGCCTAGAGTCTCAGTTTTCCTTATTACAACCATCACTTGCTTCCTGTTTACACTGGGTAAAGAGACCAGGTTTCATGCCTGTAGGCCCACATTCCTCAGTTGAGCTGGTTTTCCCAGCCTGCAGGCTACAGGTTTCAGCCTCCCTGTGTGTGGAAGGAAGTCTCCTGTCATAGAGGGCACACCCGTCCAATACCCAATACTTGAAATCACTTGAGAAGTCACACTGCTGGACAGACTGTATATATCATCCTTGCACATTTTTTCTGGAATTATACTTACAGAGACCCTGTGACTATAAATTCAAGTGTGTAGAGAGAAATAAGAAGAGGCAGTAGCTTCTTTTTTCTTACACGGGAGAGGTTTCTACCCATCGTAATTTCCATCCTCATCCTATCCCATCCCCCAACCCTCCTCTCTGAACACATGCAATATGTGCACACACGCAAGTGCACTTTAAACTTAGCTAAACTGAATTAGTCTTTATCGGAGAACATTATGTATACCTTTGTAATTTGCAGCTTTTAAACATGTTTCCTCTACTTAAAATGTCTTTTCCCACCTTCTTTGATGTTTAAATCACCCATACCTTGAGTTTCATATCAAATGTCATCAGACTTGTAACTTTTGGACTTATCTGTTCCCACTTTTGGGCTCCTATAACACCCTGTGAATCCCCCTATTTACAGTCTTAGCACTTTAAATTATAATTTGTGAAAGTCTTTCCTGCCTCCTCCCACTATGCCATAAGTATCTGTAGGGCAAAATCAGTTTTAGTCTTCTTGGTAATCCAGAAAATTTCCCATCATCCAATAGTCACTGCCAGGTAGGTACTCAATGAAGATTTGTTGAATTGATGTAAAAGGCAAACAAAGGGCTAAGAATATAAAGTTAAATTTGATTGCTAAAACATTGGTTCATTTGCATGATCCACTTGAAAAGATGGATAGAAATACAAGAAAAGAGTACAAAGGGTTGGTCTGTAGATCATTATGGTTACAGAGCACTCATAATGCGTTCACTGCTATTCATCAGTTCTGGGTTCAGTACTAGTCCTTCCCAGGAGTACTCTCTGCATACTCCAGGAACCCAGCAAAGCGATGGTTAAAAAAGAAAAGATAAGGCTACAAGTTGCAAATACAAAGTAGATGAAATAATTGAGGATAATTGAGCCAGGTTGTGAGAGATAATATTATACCATATCACATCAATTAATACGAAAGTACACACAGTCTCTCTCTTTCTCTCTCACTCACTTTCTCTCTCTCTCTCTCTCTCTCACACACACACACACATACAGACACACACACATACAGACACACACACACACACACACTTCTTTAAGGCTTATACCCATTTCCCTGAATATTAGGAAACTGGGTATGACATAGAACTATTACTATATGACCTCAGTCACTTATTCCCTCTGAATAAGTGTCCTCATTTTCTTTAAAGAGACAAAATCTTGCTCTGTCATCCAGGTTGGAGTGCAATGGTATAATCATAGTTCACTGCAGACTTTCACTGCAGACTTGCACTGCAGACTTGAACTCCTGGGCTTAAGCAATCCTCCTGCCTTAGCCTTCCAAGGAGCTGGGATTATAGGTAACTGGAATGGGAACACAGGTACTTGCCACCATGTCTCGTTAATTTATTTTATTAAATTTTTTTAAAGACATGGTCTTACTATGTTGCCTAGGCTGGTCTTGAACTTCTGACCTCAAGCAATCCTCCCACCTTAGCCTCCCGAGTCACTGGGATTACTGGCATAGGCCACCACCACACATGACTCAACTGTTCTCATTTTTAAAACAAAGACACCTATCCTTATCTTACAGGGGTTTTATTAGTTGAGTAACATGAAAATATTATTCAAACTGTAATCAATAGATATAAAGTACAATTATGTAATAGTACACCAGATACTTTTTATGTCTCATAATATTAAAAGCAGTGCCAAAAAGCTACTATTTTATTTTATATTTTCACAATTGTTTTATATGAGTAACACAAAGTATGTACATGAACAGATTGGAAACATTTGGTGAAGCAGGGAGATAAGCAAGACTGTCTGGGAAGAGGCCACTTGACCACCATATTTGCCAGATGTGGAAGTGGTATAGAGTTAGTGAGATGGGAATAGTATATTTTGACATAGCATTGTATAAACTTTACAGCAATTTAATCAATAAATGCTAACAGACTTAGATATAGAGTAAATTTGAATTTGAATGTGATTATGTCCATTAATGCTCTTTCTTTGGGTACCTTCCTGAACCACCAGTCCCATGACTACTCAGCTTTGGCCCAGTGTTGTGTAATCTCAAACCTGTATCACCAGTGCAGCTTTCTCTACTAAGCTTCAGACCTAAATTTCTAACTGCTTGACAACCAACCTGACGCCAAGTTCTATAGAAAAGCAACATGTTTCAAACTCAACGTGTCATAAGCTGAGTCCCCAAACCTACTTTTTCCAGTTTTCTGCAATCAAATTAATGGAATCACCATCTACCCAATCCTGAAATCTTGTCATCTTTGACTTCTTCATTGTCTTCAATATCCTGTCAGTTACTTCATGAATAACTCAAAATCTCCTCATCTTCTCTCCCTTCCTACTGCTCCTAACTTAGTTTAGGCTCTTATATCTGTTAGCTAAGCCATTATAACTATAGTAGGGACTATGTAACATTAAACTCCAGTTAAACCAAATTACTCTTTATCTAAGAACCTTCTGTATACTTTTAATTACCTCCTTTCCTTTTTGCTTGATCCAAACTTCAGTTTCAGTTAATTAGAACTCTTGAAAATATTTGCATTTTTATCTGCCTCCTCTGTTAAGCACCGCCTTCCCCAAAGGCAGGAACCTTGTCTCATTTCTGTTTGTATCCTCAACAACAGTCATAATACCTGCACTTTGTTGGTGTTAGAAAAATCTCTTGAATAAAGAGATTCTAGATACAGTAGAAAAAATGACTCTGGGTAAGAATAAGTTTGAATATTTTCATGTATTTTAAAATAATAATTTGTTCCATTAGATTGTAAATAATTTGAAAGTTTTGATTGTATAACTCAGCTCTACGTTATTCCCTCCCCGTGAGACAATAGTTTTCTTAAACTGAATTAAATTGCTTCAGGTATTTGATTAGTTATGCATTTTCCCCATATTCTACTTTTTAACTAATTCATTCATCAGAGAGATGGAAAAACCAGTTTATTAAACCCTTTTAAAATCTCATGTTTTTGCCAAAATATTCACATAAAAATATTCTAGATCCCCCAAATTATCTTTCTTCTTATTTATTCTTTTACATTAATATGACTGGGTCTTAATCAAAGCCAATCTTGGAAAATGTCCTAAACACAAATAATTTTGTGACATAAAAACCAACAACAAAAGAGAAACTAAGACACAAAAACCTGGATCAAAGCACTCATCCTCTCACATTCCAGATGGAAATCATTTGTTTTCCTAGAGAGCTGGGACTTTGGGTGGCCTTTGAATAAGAAATGGCTTGGCAAATGAAAGTGCCAGACTATTGCTAAAGGAAAAAAAAAGATAAAAAAACTTTGGAATAATAATTTAAGGAGAAAAACCTTAAAGGAAATACACTTAACAGATCCACGAAGTAGTTTGATTGGCTAAAAGTCAACCAACCAACTAACTGTCTATCACGTTCATGTGTGTGTGCACGTGCGTCCCACCTGCTATTCTTACTTCCATCCAGCAAGAGCTACATGAACATCAATTTCCTATTCAGCCTTTGCTACTGGGAAGGCTGGGGCAAAACCCAATGCTCTAGTCTACTAATTCCATTTATGGGTATTTGAAAAATAATACCCTCTTTGATATTTTACTTTTCATCTTTCTTTTTGCATTATTTGATTGTATTTATATATAGCAGAATAAGATAAAGCACAAACAGACGTCAGAATGTGACAGTGTTATTTATCTGCAGTTTATAGAGCTTGTTCTTTAATTCCTCACGCTGAACTTCTTCCCGCAAAGGGCATTCAGGGAATGACCATCTAATGCACCAGGTATGAGGAATAAGAGAAGACTTGGCCCAGGAAATGATGGATGTACCAACTGAGGCAGTTAGTATTTATTTTGATTTACAATAAAGTACAATTACTATTAATTCAAAAATATATATTATTTTAATGGTCGGAACCAGATGACCTTTAAAGCAGGAAAATGTCTTTGGGAAAATAGGTTATCAAGCTCTTTAACTTGGATTAACAGATGTTTTTAAAAAGAAACATAAAGTGTTCTGCATTGTTAATAATAATTTTTGAAACACACTTTGAAGATTATGGAACAATGTATTAATGTGTTATTATTAATAAGAACTTCTAGAAACAGAGAAGTCTGACATTGCGTTTGAAGTTCGGGGCAAGAGCAGGATGGAAATTCCCGCTCTATCTCCCTGAAGCCCTCGATGAGTCTATTCTCATATTCTTGCCTTCAAGTAGGTGTTAGGTTGTTCTTATTGATTGTTTGGTGTTTTGGCTTTCAGTGGTAAAGAGTCAGGCTAGGGGCTGATGTTGATGCTTGGGTTGAGAAACTGTGACATAGGAGTGTTCCACAGAGTGGCAACGTGATTCATATGCCAAGCTGGTTTAGTGTCAATAACAGCTTGAAGCCTGAGGGAAACCAGGACATTATAAATCCCTGAGGACATTTGCATAATTCTTGAGAGGAACATTGACTTTCCATGGGAGAATAATGTGATTCAAGGTCATTTCATCTATGTATTAGGGGGGGAATGAAGACTCCATCTAGACTGTAATCAAATATATGTCGCCTCAAATTCTTTTTAAAATCCCCAGGACCTATCAATTTAAAATATTTTCACACACATACATATATATTTACACTTGCATGAATAGGTATGTTTAATGCAAGAAACATAATATATGCCATCAACCACAGAAAGTCTTTAGATGCAGATTGCCAAGTTTTGAATTCATAGCAAATAAAGAATTGTCATATTCTGAAATGAATGATATAATATAAAAGCAAACATAAAAAGGACAGAGAAGGTAGGAATTTCTAGGTCTATAAGTGCACTCATGTGTATATTTGGTTTTATTGAAAATACAAAGTTTGATCTTTCACTACATTTTCAGCTCCAACTGTTTTACTTCTTGACTACCTAGAATGCCTCAGTACTGCTTAAGATACCCGGGGGAGGTGAGAGAATAATAGAAAACTGTTCCCTTTAGAAATGAGTCTAAAATCTGCTTGATTAGATGAAATTTAAAGACAAAGAAATTCTGAATAGCTTTACACTTCATGGAGTATTTATACACACATCATTCTATTTAACCTTATAATGGTCCAGTGAGGTTGGGAGGAAAGGCAGCGCTCATTATCCTCATTTTAGAGGTGAGACTACCAAGGCTCAGAAAGAGAAGTGACTTAATCAAGCATGACCACACGTTGAACCACATCGAACTATGCTTTATCCTATTCCACACTTCCCTGAATAAAATAATTAGAATGTGATTATATGTGGGAAAGTATATATACCCTGTAGGTAATGCATGCAATTAGTAAGGTGAAAGCAGCATGTTACATATAAATATAATGTATATTTACATATAAAAACAGACTGACTTTTTACTAAAAAAAATCTATAAACCTATTACTGTTTTTGTCTATATAAATTGCTGGTTTTATTTTATTTTATTTTATTTTATGTTTTGTTTAGGAGTACATGTCTCTAGAAGCACATAACTCCAGCAACAAAGCTAATCTAAGAGTAATACCCAAGATGCCTCCTACCTTGCAAATTTCAAGGAATTTCTCACTGGTGTATTTCATAGGGTGCTCAGTGAAAGTAGCATAAGGAACTTCAGTAGACCATGGGTTCCAGCGGGACAGTAGGGACTGCTCCTCTGGACTCCCCCAGTAGATCCTAAGGCCTTCTCCTCGTCTCCTACAAGAAAGGGGTTTTCCATTAGATTAGTCATTTCCATTTCCAAAAAAAAAAAAAGATAAAAAATGGAATGTAATACATCAGTCCGCCTTCATATTGCTGCTAAGTGGCTTAACTCCCAGCTAGTTAAACTGTTCAAAGGATTTTAGGGGGTGAGAAGAAAAAGGTGAATTTGGTTTTAAACATAGGAAATTCCAGGTGTTTGGAGGAATTCTATGTGGGAAACACCTACTTGGAAATGTGAGTCTGATACTCAGAACAGTGGCCAGAGCTGGAAATATGGATACTGACGTCACACCAAGATTCTGATGGTAAGAATTAAAAGAGAAAGAGACGAGGTATCAAAGAGGTGAACAGTAACGGAACAGTTCAGATGGGAGACAGTTTCTAGAAGAAAGGAGATGCCATGACAATAACAGTTTCCACAAAAGCAAGAACTGACTAAGAAAAGACATGGGGCTTCTCGCATGGTAGAACATACATGATTTTTGAGGGAGATGATGACCAACTCAAAATGTTCTGCGACTTCAGATTCTGAATCTCATTGTCCTCTATTCTCTGCACACATTCCATTCAGTGAAATTGCAGCAACAAACATGTCAAAGCTTGTAGAAAGACTGTGCCTGCCCCTTCCTGTTAAGTTCACAGTCTTAATCCACAAGATGTGGGAGGAAGTCACTCGCATAACCCAGGCCTGGTCATTTAGTGAACCTAAGTGCAGAGCAAGAGAAAGTAAGCTTGAGACAACAGGGAGAGGACTCATGGCAGAGGAGTTGCAGCCACACTGAATAACAAAACCGTGTTTCTGAGGCCTCTTTCGCATGTGTCCATCAGAATTTATGATTTGTGGTTTTAGATATCTCTGAATGCAAAGAGATGCCCGGAGGTTAAGCCAAACTCAGGTACCTTGCATTCGACAAGCTTGGAAACTAAGTTGCCTGTAATTCTAAGCAGCCCTATGGAACATCACAGATGTCTCATTTTGTCTAAAAATTAAATCCTGGGATTTCTGGAATGAAAAACCAGAGCTTAATTGTGGTGCCTCCACAAAACTGCCACTTCCTGTATTAAGGAAGGATTCCTTCGGGAATGCTGTTATGGTTTCTGAATGTTTATCCATGTGGAGATTGTATAAGCACAATTTCATACAAATGCATATAACACTCCACTCCCCAATTGGTTAATACCTTAACTTTTCTCACAAAAGGAAAGTAAGAAAAGTCCCTGAAATGTTCTGCTGGCTAGTTCTCAGATTTTTGATGATTATATTTGAAAACTGATACCCTCCTTTCTTTTTGTACTTAATCCTTTGCCCAAGAAGGAAAAAAAAAAAAGAAACCAAACAAACAAACAAAAAAAGACTATAGGGGAAAAAAAAAAAACAGAAGAAATAAAAATATTGAGAAGAATAGAAAAATAGAAGATAAATATACCTCTAAAATTTTCTTTCTCCCTCTCCTTCTCAGCTGGCATGCTGGCATTTATTATCCCCCAGCACTTATTTTTCTGGCCTGACAATAAACTCTAAACTCAATGAATATTCTATGTGTGCTGGTTAATAGAGCATTCTGGATTGAGTCCATTAAAACAACTTGCACAATGGAATTATTTACTGCTTCATATGTCAATTTATGTGCTGGGTGCAATTTTGCTTTTATCCAAAGGGGATGAAAATCTGCCAAGAGAGCTTGCCTAATAAGTACACATTATATTCTTCTACCTTAGGGAAACCTCAGATTAAGTTTGAGCATGAAATTCACGAGCGACCCTATTTCTAAATAACCAGTCAATCTGAGTATAACAAGGACCTTTCTCAGAGATGTTGTACACTTCCAAATATACAAGTTCAACCAACCTTCTTTCCTGAGCTCCAGAGGTGAAAACTAGGAAGATTAATCTAAAGCTAAGTTATCTCTCCAAGGGTGAGGTTTCTCAGGCCATCCAGCAGAGCCGTTCGCATCAGAGTGCTCTGAAAGACTATCATCTTCTTTTTTGTCAAACACCATTAGAACAGTCGTGGACACTGCAGGTGCCTTTATGACCAGAAATACTTTTTTTAAATAGTAACTTGTAGTCACATGAAAGAAATCCTGGGAGGTAACAGAGTGGAGTAAAAGTGAGGTGAGCTGGATGTCCAGGAGTCCTGTGATACAGTCTCGATTTTGACACTTAATGTTACGCGACGATAGGCAAGCTTATTTCTCTTTCTGAATTTCTGTCTGAATCTGAATCATTTCTCTTTCTGAATCTTCTGAATATGTCTTCCCATATTTAGAAAAAATATGACTTCCTCATCTCTTCTATAGAGTGTCTCTATATTGAGACATTCCGTGACCTCAGTCACTGTGTGAAGAGTGGAGGCAGCTACGGTCATGACACCAGTAACAATCATCTGGCTGGGTACACACAACATCCATAAGTGGTCTTGGGGTATGAATTCTCTAGT